GCAAGCGGGACTGACCTAGGGAGGATTTTAGGTAGGGATGATTTTAAGAAAATTTTAATTGACACACAGCTTCCAATATTTGGCTTTTAATTTGGTTTTATGGGGTTTTTTTTTGTTTTTTGATGTATTTTGTTTGTATCTGTTTTAATATGCTGTGCACCGCCCTGAGTCCTACGGGAGAAGGGCGGTATATAAATTATTAAATTAAATTAAATTAAATTAAATTAAATTAAATTAATTAAATTAAATTAATTCTGGGAGGCAAAGGGAATCAGATGGCTTCTGGCCCCAGCTGAGCCAATGAAGAGGCCTGGCTTTCTTGTCTGCTGCAGCCAAGTCAGTAACATTTATTGTAATGTTTATTCATTTGTATTCTTGTCACTGGTAATGCTAGATTAGTAACCTTTGGCTTTTTGTCTCCAAAGCATGTGACATACTACTTGCCACTTGGACTCACTTTTTAAATGTGATTGATGTGATATAATCTATCATATTTATTAAATTTCCATGCCGTCCATTTCACTGGCCAAAGTGAGTCTGTGCTTGACATAGTATTATCTATAAAATCTATTCAAGCTAGCATCGAATTGATACCATGAGGATTAGCATCCTAAACTCATAAATTGCAGATTGTTCTGATTTCAGGCAACTGGAACTTTCAAGAATGATAATTGAAAGGCAGCATGTTTGAATGGTTTGCTGTGAAGCATATCTAAGAGATATTCAGCCTAGTTGTCTCTCTTAACTTGCTCCCTTAATGTTGTAGGAAGCTTTGAGCTAAGCGGGAAATCATTACATTGTACATATTCCCTTCCATCAGAAAATTTATAATTAGAAGAGCTGTTAATTAATTCTGCATACCGTATGAGCGGAATAGGCAATGGCTTAATATATCTCTGCTTTTCTTTCTCACTAAGGTTGACAACAATGTTACTAGACATTTGAATAATGTACTGAAAAGAGAAGACTGGGATATACTCATTCTTCATTATTTAGGATTGGATCATATTGGTCATCTGGCTGGACCAAACAGTCCTTTGATAGGACCAAAGCTTTCTGAAATGGATGACATTATCTCAAAGATTCATAAGTCTCTGCTTTCCAAGGTGAGATGCTTACGTTTTGAAGATGCATTTGATCATGAAAACAGGAAGAAGATCTGAAATTTCCAACTTCAATCTACAGATGCATTTTATCTTACGGCCTGACCAAGTAAATGATTAATTGAGACCAAGTCTCATATTGTGCTTATTGGGGCACATTTCCAGTTTTTAGTCCCGGGCACTTGGAATTGTAGACTAAATGAAATATGTTGATATTGCTCTTTTGAATACATTGGCCATAGGATGTGCAGGAGATGGAAACAATATTTTATTTTAAGTTCTGAAATTTCTGTTGTATTATTGCACATTGGCTTTATTTTAGCAGAACAAAATTAGGAACAATTTGAATATTTCATTTGTAGTCAGGAAAAAAATTGAAATGTAGGAACCTTTGGGGACCTGATTGGCACTTAAGTTTTCTATTGATGTAATATTAATGCATATAATGCAAGGGATCTACATAAGGCTATTTTTGAATGCATATTTGTATGTAGACACTTGGTATACTGTATGTGAGATGCATTCTGCTTAGCCAAGCTAAAGGTTGTGAAAATACTAGCCAGGTGGGATCCCGTTTCTTATTTAAATAAATAGTGCTGTGTGAAATACTAATAATATATTCCTAACAAGGATTGGGGGAGGTTGCTGTGGTATCTTTTATCAGTTTACTTTGGTGTGTGGCAATCGTTCTTGAGAATCCTAATCTTTTTGGCTCAAATCTGCGAGATGAAGAAACAGATTTGATAATAAAATGTTAAACGATTCCATTAAAACTTTGAAGATTTCTTCATATTCAGGAACGGGAGAAAAGAACTTTGCCCAATTTACTTGTTGTTTGTGGTGACCATGGCATGTCTGAAACAGGAAATCATGGTGGTTCCTCAGAAAGTGAAATTCGCACCCCCCTGCTTTTCGTGAGCTCTGCTTTTCTAAGGACAGGTGGTAAGAACCGAGTTTCTCTCTTACTAGCATGTTAGGTTGAATAAAGAAATGTCTGGCTATACCATTTCAGATTGCAAGGGGTGGTGGTGGTTTACATCAAGGGTCCCCAACCTTGGCAAGTTTAAGACTTGTGGACTTCAACAAGTCCACAAGTCTTAAAGTTGCCAAGGTTGGGGACCCTGGTTTACATGATAGAATCTTCCATAACTCCATGAAAATCCATTTTCTCGTTTGTTTGTTTGTTTTTAAAAAAACAATCCTAAATGTTGAAGACACATTTATCTCAAAAGCCCCTTTTCTCTGGTGGGATTTTTTTTTTTTAATTCAGTATTCTATGTAGTTCCAAATAATCAGAAGTACTATATTCCAGAAACAAGTTGTGCGGTCAAAATTTGACCTGAGGTATTTTTATCTGGAGAAATTGCAAGTGACTTAATGTGTCTGCTCAATGGGCTTTTAATAACTCCAGAAGTAATCAGTATATTAATATATTAACACAAAGCAGACCTGCCTGTTTCTACAGCTAAAGGCAGAAAGTGGTGTGCAAAGGATAGCATACCATGGAGTGACATTATTAAAAGCTAAGCGAGTCAATTCTTTCTCAAAAGAACTGAAAGACGTACATACGTATGTATGTATGTATGTATGTATGTATGTATGTATGTATGTATGTAATAATAATAATAATAATAATAATAATAATAATAATAATAATAATAATAATAATAATAATAATAATAATAATAATAATAATAATAATAGTAAAGTTGGAAGGGACCTTGAAGGTCATCTAGTCCAACCCCCTGCTCAGGCAGGAAACCCTATACCATTTCGGACAAATGGCTGTCCAGTCTCTTCTTAAAAACTTCCAGTGTTGGAGCATTCACCGCTTCTGGAGGCACCCTGAATGCCTTCTGGTTTCCCAATAGCCACCTGCTTTTGTCATCAGTTCAGTTACTTAGAAACAGTAACTTTAGAAACCTATGTGAAGTAGCCTAAAGGTAGCAGGGGAGAATTTGAGTTTGAGAGTCCTTGAGGTGTTATGAATACTTGCTGAATCTTGCTATGAAAAAAATAGGAGAAACAGCTGTTATTTTGGATGCAGTACAGAAAGGAGAAATGCTTATGCTTATGGGACAGCATCTCTTCTGGTCAAGAAATTATATTTTGGGGAATGAAGAATAGATAAGCCTTAATATTTTCTTTCTCCCTTTAGGTCCCCGAAGACATCCGGAACTTATCCAACAGACTGATATAGCGGTCACCTTAGCATTAGGGCTTGGCTTGCCAATTTCAAGAAACAGCGTTGGGAAGCTTCTGTCCCCTGTGATAGAGTGGAAGACAGCTAGAGAACAGCTACGGTACTTGCATTTGAATGGTTTCCAACTCGGTAAACTTCTTCAAGAGAATGTCCCTACATATACGAAAGGCAAGTAAGTTCATTATGTTCTGGTAATTAGGATGTTTTTATTTTCTCCCACGAACAGTCATAGATTGTGAAGAAAGGAAATAATATTCTGAAAATTAAGAAGCAGCTTGCTTATAAATGAATGAAAAGGGAAAAAACAAAAACAAAAGTAAGAATTGGCTTTATAGCTAATTAGATGTTGATCTTAAACATCGGTGAAACCTTTTAAGTCATGCTTCTAGGATAAGACAGCACACTGAAGATATGTCTTGTATCTGTAATGTAAACCTGAAGGTATAACATTATTTCTACATTTATCATAATTTTAAAAAAACAAATTCAGCTTGGAGATAAAAACCTCCTGTCAACATTAGTCATAAATACAGTAGGCATGTAGTTAATGTGTCTTCCTTATGAAGAGCGCCTTTGTTTTCAAGTTATGTGAAGCTGTCATGTTTAGTTGTAAAAGTGTGAATGCACCCAGTATGACTCAGATTTGCAATATGGCATCCCTAAGCAGTAGCCAGAAAATTGTACTAAAAATAAACAAACAAACAAAAATTGAAAAAAGAAAGGAATAAAAAAAGAAAAAAAATGTAAAATTATTGCCTTCTACCATTCTCTTTCGTGAGTAATTATCCTCTTAATGATTTTGCTATCTTCTTTGTACCTTTGGAATTCTCAAATCCTAGAATCATTAGTTCAGTCCTTTCAGCAAAAAGTCCATATAAGCTTTCAATCTTTCAAAAAGGTTTTCTGTCAGGTTTTTTTTTTCTTTGAGCAAGCTGCAGATTCAGTTAATTTTATAATCCAATCTTTCACTCATTGTATTTAATTGCTTTTCCAACTTTTTGAATACAATAATCTCCCCATGGTTATAATATAAATGTCAATTTCCTATTTTTTTTCTAATTCTATATCAATAAGACCCAACGGGAATAATTCTAGCTTTATCGTAATGTTGAGCTGCAGTATATTTTTTATTGTTGTATGGATTTGCACCCAACATAGTTCTGCGTTTTTTAGTATTTAGCATTTCTTTTGTCACACAAAATTATGCGGTATAGTTAGTCCCCACTTAACGTTCACTTATTCAATAATTGTTCAACCGTGTTAAACCAGAGGATTTATGACACTGTAATCATCACGGTGTCCTTGCGATCACATAATTGCAATCAGGTGCTTGAGGGTGAAGATTCATTCTCTGAGCTTGTGGGTTGGTTTCCAAACGTTTCGTTACCAAGCTAGGTAACATCTTCCAGTGGAGTTTCGGGGATGTCAGTGTCAGTGTTCTTCTGTTTATAAGAGCTTTGTGTGGTCAGTAGTTCTTGTGATGGGTCAGGTGTGCGTGTGTGAAGTGAGGGTCTTGTGATGGGTCAAGTGTGAGTCTTGTGATAGGGAGGTTACATCAGGTGAGGGTTATTGGGAGGTGAAGTGCTGGTGGGGGGGCTTGCATGGGTTGGTTGAGGGTCGTTGCCGTCTCTGGTTGGCTGTGCAGTTGATTTGGATTCTGAGGGGTTCATAGGCTGGTTGTAGGTCATTGTGTCTGTTGATGGAATTGCTTGTGGAGTGCCAGGCTTCGATGAACTCACAAGCGTGGCTGGTGGTAGCGTGGCCGATGATTTTGGTGTTGCTCCAATGGAACTGGTGCTGCTGGTGTTGGTGTGGGTAGAGATTAAGGATTTGGGATGGTGGCGTTTGACTGCCAGCTGCTGTTCATGGATCTTGGTTTTAATTGATGTGATGTTTGTCCTATGTAGAATTGGTTGCAATTGTTACAGATAATTTTGTAATTACATTGTTTCTTTCATCCTTGTGTATCTTGTCTTTGGTTCTGGATAATTCTGGCGGAGTATGGCTGTGGTTTGTGGGCTATTGCTTTTCCTAAAGGTTGAAGAATTTTGGCTGTCATTTCTGACACCTCTTTTTGTGTATGGTAGGGTTAGTTTTTCCGTGGTGGTTGGCTGTGGGCGTGTTGTGGTTTGGATGCTGTATGTCAGAATATGAAATTTTTTTGATAGCTGTTATGGAGAAGGATGTCAAGCAGCCATTTCTCTTCCACTTTTTGTAGTGTTGTGGTACTGCAGTGTTTTCTGGACCTTCTAAAGAGGGTCTGGACACAGTCTTTTTTATGTGCGGTGGGGTGGTTGCTTGCAAAGCTGAGGATCTGGTCTCTGTGTGTGGATTTGCGATAGATGGCGGGTTTCCAGTTCTCCACTGTCCAGTCTTCTTATGTCGATGTTGAGGAATGGGAGTCTGTTGTCTGTTTCCTCTTTGCGTGTGAATTTGATCCCAGGGAATATGTTATTGAGTAGGTGATGTAGTTTCTTCAATTTGGGAGCATTTGGTGATGTCAAAGGGGTCATTGACATAGAGTTTCCAGAATTTTGGTTCGATGGTGAGTAGAGCTATGGATCTGAGTCATTGCATGACTGCTTCTGCTATTAGGCTGATATGGGTGATGTAATTCCATTGGGGTACCTTGTACTTGCTTATAGATTTTCCCTTTGAACTTGTATATGTTGAGGCATAGATCCAGAAGTTTCATGATGGTTTCAGTGGATATAGAGTGTTCTGTGATGGCATTATCTTTGTGGGTATGGTGTTTAGCAAGTAGGTGGTGTATGGTTTGTTTAGCCAGGTTGATGTCAATCGAGGTGAAGAGAGCAGTGACGTTGAAGGAGACTATGATTTCTTCCTTGTTAATCTTGGTGTGCTTTGGAGAAATTGTTCTGGGGAGTTTATTGAGTGGGTTGAGTCATTGACCAGGTGTCTGAGTTTCCTCGGCAGAGTTTTTGCTAGTTTGTACATCAGTGTTCCAGGTAGAGACAGAATTGAACATAAGGGGGATCCCATTCTTGTGTATTTTGGGAGTCTGTAGAACCTGGGTGTGGAGGAGTCTTGTGGTTGCATGTGCTTTGTCTCTAGTGGTGTTAGCTGTTTTTCTTTTTCTATTTTTCTTAGGGTGTCTTTTATTTTGTTCTTTAGCTGTTCTGTCAGATCATTGTGGATTATTTGGTAGGCGTTGGTGTCATTTAGACGGTTTTCGGCTTTGCGGATGTAGTCAGTTTTGTCCATTACTACCATCAGTCTGTCTTTGTCTGCCAGTAGGATGGTGATGCTTTCATCTTGTTTCAACGTCTTTAGTGCTCTCTTCTCCTTTTGGCTAAGTGTTTCATTTTGTCTGTTGCGTTGGATGCTGGAGATGATTCTTTGTCTGCTGTCTTCTTGTGTTTCTTGGTCGTGTGGTGCGTTTTTAGAATGGATTCGAGATTGGCGAGGAATTCGATGGGGTCAGCATCTTTGTGGTTGAAATTGAGGCCATGTGTGAAGACGGTCTTTTCGTCATCAGAGGTCTACTGGATAGATTTCTGATCCATAGTTCTGAGTTGTCTTGTGGTTTTAGGGTGATGGTTTCAGGTGCTTGTTTATGCCTCACAGTTATGACATTGTAATGTCCCACAATTATGTAATTGCCATTTGCAACCTTCGGTGCTGGCTTTCGACGAAGCCAGTGAGATAGACAGCAGAAGGTTGCAAAAGGTGATCACCTGATGATGGGACGCTGTGAACATGCAAGATTCACCTAAGAACGACAACTGGGACTGCTGAAACTGCCATTGTAAGTCAGCAATCCCCTGCCATTGCACTTTGTGACCACATTGGGTAGTCACAAAGTACTCAGTCCCAATTACCATTGGTAAGTAAAGCCTACCTGGAAAGGTAGCTAACCTGAATCAGTATTTGGGGCTCTGGGTGATCTAGTCCACTGTTGTTCATTCTATTAGCCATAAACTGAGAAAAACAACTGGTTAAACATTACGGGGCAAGCTTTAGTTTAAACTCTGTATTAAAATATAATGTTCTATCTGCATTCTCGTCTCTTATTATTAGACCCTGGATTTGAAATGTTTGTGAAGGCAGAAAAAGCTCATGGGAATTGGATTCAATACTATTTGGAGGGCAGTAGTACACAAGTTGTCATGAATTTGAGCAAAAAAATCATAAAACAGTATTTGGAAGCTCTCAAGATCCTGAGCTCGTCTTTAAGCAAGCAAGTGGCCCAGTATGATGTCTATTCAATGATAACAGGAACGATGATTATTCTGGAGGTATGGACTGATTTTATTTATTTATTATTTATTGGTCTTAAAAGCCACCCAACTCTCAACATCTCTAAGAGGCCTCTGTTGCCCAAACTAGGAAAAAGTAAAATGAAAGAAAAGAACCCAGCATCTCAAAAGAAAACTAACATGATTGCCAGCCACCATAACCCTAGGCCCGAAAGCAGAGCCAGTTTTTTGGAGATTTGCAGAACAGTTGGAGGATGGCAATTGTATGGATCTCTTGTGGGGATACAAAGCCTTACTTTATAAAGCAGCATATTAAACCTGTTACTTTATTTGCACAGTTTCACGGTATTTACATTCCGAGCCAAATTCCACTTGCCACAAGGCTCTCTGATTAGATGTAGATTGGGACATTTTATCCAGATTCCCAGTAGTTGTTGTTGTAGATACTTTATGTCTGTGTGATATAAGTTATTCTATGCAACAAAAGGCATGGTAAAGAATAGACGTTATCGGATGGTCTTGTGATTGTTAACTTTTACAGTAACTGTTCTCATCTCTCCTTTTTATCTTCATTTATCTCCTTTTTTCCTCCCTTCTTGAGTTAATTCCCCCTCTTACTTAATTGAACTACCTACATAGAAACAAGCATACATTGTACTTACAGTTCAAACAGTACCAGGTTTCACAAGGAGTTATGAGAAAAGACATTATTCTATATAACCATACAGAGAGAGAGGGAGGCGGAGAGGGAGGCAGGCAGGCAGGCAGGGAGGGAGGGAGAGAGAGAGAGAGAGAGAGAGCAACAGGGACCACAAAAAAGGCAAGGTTCAGTATCCAGAACTTCACAACCACCAAAGGACAAGGTACTAGCTGCCATAATTGACCTCTCCATGTAGATGAAGGTATAATTGACATTAGCTTCCATCTAGACATTTCCAGTGTAGTGAAAGGTAATCTGCCCCCCCCTGTACACATGTACGTGTGCGTCCACTGCCATACCAAAGTCACATACAAGTAGTTCTCAACTTAAAACAGTTCATTTAGGGTCCGTTCCAAGTTACAAAAGCATGGGGGGGAAAGTGACGTATGACCATTTTTCATACTTAAATGTTGCAGCATCCTCGTGGTCATGTGATCAAAATTCAGACACTTCGCAGCAGTGTCCTGCTTCGTATTTGTGATGATTGCAGTGTCCTGGTGTCATGTGATCACCTTTTGTGATCTTCTGACAAGCAAAGTCAATGGGGAAGCCAGATTCACTTAACCATGTAACTAACTTGACAAGTGCAGTAATTTACTTAATAACTGTGGCAAGAAAGGTCATAAAACGGGGTAAAATCCACTTAATTGTCTCAGCAGCAGAAATCTTGGGCTCAATTGTGGTTTTAAGACGAGGACTACCTGTATTTGCTTGTAATTTAGTTGCAAGATACTATAGAGCAGTGGTGGTGAACCTATGTCATGCGTGCCAGAGGGGTCACTCAGAGCTGTCTCTATGGGCACTCATGCCGTCACCCCAACCCCCCCATGGCCCCCTCCTCACCAGCAGTCCCCTGGAGCAGAGTCACCCCCCAGGTGCAGCCCGCGCAAAGCAGTGCAGCCAAGGACATGGCAGCCGGGCAGCAGGGACAAGACTCTGCCCTCACACCCCATCGCATGCAGATGATGAGAGTGTGGTCGCCATGGTGCTGCTGGGCCGCCTGGGCGATCGGCGGGCTGTGGAGGCAGTGGGTGGCCCTTTGGGAGCAGGTTGGGGGGCAGAGCGGGGGTGTTTTTTGGGCACAGTCTCTAAAAAGTTCGCCATCACTGCTATAGAGGAATGTATAAAGCTTAACAATATACAGTGTTACATGTGAATAGATCCGTTTGATTTGCTAGATGGTTAGGGAAATGGCAGGTATGCTGCACCCCACCTGTAATATGTGATAGTGTGTAATCTCTGCCCCTTGTTGAGTTGTAGACTAGATTTTGACTGTGTTTCCTCTTTTGCTCCCGACATAGGTGCTGTTCTTGCTCTTATTGAGCCTTCCAAAAGCCCTGAGCAGCAGAGCTGAATTTGAGATGCCTCACTCTTCCTTGTGTTCTCTGATGTTCTACTTGATGTGCCTAATATGGAGTGCCATTCATGTAGTTGTCTGCACCTCCACAGAAAGCTTATGCTATTTTTGCAGCATTCCCTGGCTTATAGCAGCTGGAATTATCATGCTGGCTTCGGGGCTTTTTTGGGTCATAATTTCTCTTCTGGAAGCACGGGTAATAAATTCAAGACAACCATTGAAGGTAAAAATACTGGAATGTATTATAATTTCTTACCAGTTGCACATCTCTTTTTCCAGGGAGGATCAAGAGCCGTGGTGGACAGTGGTTAGAATGCAGTATTGCAGGCTAACTCACTCTCACTGCCAGGAGTTCAATCCTGACCAGCTCAAGGTTGACTCAGCCTTCCGTCCTTCCGAAGTCAGTAAAAAGGAAGACCCAGATTGTTCAGGGCAATAGGCTGGCACTGTAAACCACTTAGAGAGGGCTGTAAAGCACTATGAAGCGGTAAATAGGTCTAAGTGCTATTGCTAAGTGATATTTGCTATCTACACGCTGTTCCTTTTTCCTTGTGCCATTTTTATTTCTTTCAGTCACAATGTCTTTTTCATTTTCCCTTTTGCCTTTATAAAGGAGAAAACACAGGTACCCATATCTTTTCTCTCACAAAGTAGCTGGAGACAATTTGAACAAAGAAATAGGGCAAGGTCTACGTTATTTTTTTTTTCCTGCTTCCCAGGTTTTCAGCTTCAGATTGCAATATAAATAGTTTTAGTAACTGTAAACAGTCCAGATCAATCTGTTGCAGAATCATAAGTAGTTTGACTTCTCTCTAAATTGTGGGACAAATGCTAGCAATTAGACCATTAATATTGAGCCATACAATCTAATGTAGTTACCTTTTTCCTTAAAAAATATTTGTGTACATAATCCTTGTGTTCTGTGACCTCACCAGTCAATTTGCAGTTCTGGATAGTAGGCATTCTTTCTCAGTGGTGAAATGTTAATTGCTGTTTATACATTCAGGATAAAAACAGCCAGGGCTTCCTCTGCAGTTCTTTTATAAATCTGAGCTGAATTACAGTTGCAAGAAAAAGTATGTGAACCCCTTGGGATAACGCGGAGTTTTGCATGAATTGGTCATAAAATGTGCTCTGAACGTCATCTAAGTCACAACAATAGAAAAACACAGTCTGCTGAAAATAATAATACACAAACATTACATGTTGCCATGGTTTAATTGAACATAACATGTAAACATTCACAGTGCAGGGAG